CTGTAGTTTCTCACACGTTTAATCGACTTCAGTGCTGTAAAACCCACACAAAAGACTGTGTGTACCTGTGTGACTGCTGTAGCTGTAGCTCGGTGTATAAAGGTGACTTACTGAAAAATCTGGCTTCAGACTTCACTGCTGTTTCTACCCACAACACAAACGGGATGCATTCTGAAGTAGCATGAATCTGAAAGTGTAATAATCTTATTGAAATGCCTTACATTGCATTGAGGAGAAAAAACCCGGTGCATGGGCCTTATCCATCCAAGCATCAGTGCACTTTTCCAAATGCTTGTTAAAGAACTAATTGTGTTCCCGAGCACAGCAAAGATAGGATTTTTATTCCTGTTTCATTCAGGGAACTCAATTTGGCGCCCACCGGTATCAATGTCATTTTAATCTGCAGGTAGAACAGCACGGCCCGATTCGTGCCCCGCTTATGAATTTCAACCTGGAGGAAATATGATTTTGGATTGATACATTAAATTATTGCGTGCCAGGCTGTAGGGGTAAAAAAAAATAGAGTGGATGGGCTTTGCTTCACTGTAGCGAATCATATTCACCTCAAACTTCATTATGTGATCTACTTTGCATACTTTATTGTGACGGGTACGTGCTCTCTTGACACTTTCCAATAAAACGTGTGATTTCCTTTTTCCAGTCTCACATCTCTTTTTCATCCTATTCAAACACAAGTCCCTTGTTCCCTTTTGTTCACTTCAGATGTGTTTTTGAAAGGTGCACTTTGTTCATCAGGTAGCTTCGAAAAACAATGTAAAACTGGTGTTGATGAGAACAGATTTAAGAGGTGTGTGGATTTAATGAGACTTTTAATTTGCTTGTTAACTCATTCTTAAAGGAAGCCATGTGGAAGCCACAGCGATGCACAGAGCAGGCATGCAGCTACTTTATTTCTTAGTGTTCAACAACTTCTTCTATTTCTCTTTTTCACTAATGTCCAAGAACATAAAGTGGATCCTTCTGCTTCTTTTGCTTCCCCAGCTCAACAAGGGGCTTGGCTCAGGATGCCCAGACACCACCTCCTTCACTATATAAAGAAAGAACCAATCAGGAGGCTAATGGAAATCAGAAAATGTTATCAGTGATAACACCAAAGCAAAAAAGCTTGGGATTTGATTAAAAATTCAACAAGTTATAATGATTTAAGTTAAGATTATATCTCCAACCAGTAACAATGTGGCAGCCTCTCTGAAGCACACAGTTCGTAAATAAATATGTTTTCATCTACTGAGTTAAGACAACGTTCACCTTAACAAAGTAAATAATATTGGAAACCTGGAAAAGAGCATTTTTATGCTTGTGGGTCCCTCATCTTGAAATCAGTGATTTTCTGATTTGATCCCTGAAATAAAGTCTGTGGATAACACAAACTAAAAATTTTCATATGAAGCTTTCATATTTTTGCAGAAATTAAAGGTTGAGGTCGCGAGGCTGGTTTAGTAAGTCTGGGCAATAACACGTACACTTGAAAAAATAAAAGTGGCATCATTTTGTGAAGATTGTTTTTCTGAACTAAACAGGCAAGTGCGAAAAACTGGTTTCCCACATAGCTCGCAGACATTCAAATCTGCAGTACACTAAACTACTATGAGACACAGTTAGCTTAAAACTCTGCCACACCTCTGATCACTTATTATGGTCTAGTGTTCAACTTGAAGAAATTAAGTTTGCACGGTTTCCACTGCTCACAAGTTCAGTTTCCTCTGTAATATTTGTTTCTTCATAAACAACGTTTCAGTGGATGATGTTACCGTTAGCTTTCGGCCTCCGATGGAGGCGTAATGTCCCTCCAAACTAGTTCATCATGTTTTTCCCCAGATTTAACGAGTTCACATGTTCCTGCTAATCTTGAGCCTCTTGTCCCTACTTAGTTTTGACATATTGTAACCATCTGTCAGAAACTGAGAACGTCTTTGTCCCAGTGCATTTTTAATATTTACCGTCTACCTGAATAGAATTAAGGATTTATTACATGTTTTATTTCTAATCTTTTTTTTTTTTTAAATCTGAAACTGTTGTAGACCATACCCCACTGGTGTAACCCTACATGATGACACAATATCATGTGTTCTGGTTCCTAGATTTCACTGAGAAGCAGCATGAAACTGGGAGTCAGAATACGCTGTGGACCTTCACCTCTCCGTCCTCGTCCATTAGATTAGAGCTGCCTGGCTGTGACCAGCCGCTGGAGCAAATTGTCAATTACGATGTATATTGTTGAGCACACAGCCGACTCCGTGGCCTTAGGGGAAGGGGTGGAAGCTACTGAGGAGACATGCCTTAAACTCCCTGCGCCTCCCCCCTCTTCGTCCTCACTCGATTCTTCCTCCAGGCTAATTTTTAGTGGCTGGTCTGTGTGACACCTGCCACTGAGCTTAACAGAGATTAACCATTTCCCCATGGATTTCCCCTGGGAGATGCAGGAGAAGGGAGGCCTCTTTAATAATAGTCTGGATGCTCTGAGCCTCAGAATATGATGGCACAAAAAGGTGGCCATGAGAAAATGTGAACAGGCCAATATCAGTGCTCAGTATAGACCAAATATTCTCCATCTACCGGGTCAAACGTTCTCTTTCACCCTGCAATCAAACTGACAGTAAATGTGACGAGAAAAAAAACTTCAAAGACCAAAATAAAATTACAAGATTTTGAGGTTTTATTCACATATACAGTACAAACATTCACTTTGTATTTGTTACTGAAGTGCAATTTACAGACCTTAGCAGCAATTCTTCATAGACTTTAATTTACATCTTAATTAGACATTTTAGAATCTCTTTCACATCTTTGTCAACTTTGTCTTTTATACTTTTTCTATTTTTTTTTTTACATATGTACACTGTTTGTAGAATATTGCCATTCAGACACAGCCTATATTTATTATATCTCTGAAAATAAATGTGTGAAAATCTGTGTGATGGCTGATGAAGCCACTATCGAACATGGTGCAGAAACGATGACAAACGTCGACAAAGCAAGTCTGAATATGTGGCTTCTCAGAAATTCAAATGTGCAGCGCGATGCGATGAAGGACCAACTCTGTTCTGACACACAGACGGCGTTTACACAAAATCCGAGATTTGAGTCTGCTGCATTTTTTTTTAGCACAGGTAAGGTCTAAAAACTGGAGTGCTCTCACTGAAACTGCCATTAGCCTAGCTTGGATTACCAATGTTGCATTAGCTACATTAAATGTGAGCGCATCGAAGAGGACCTCTTGTGCTTTTCTGTAATGGATGTGGATACTTTTCTAGTGGTTGATGGTTGTATTAAACGTGGCCAAAGTTTTAAATACCAGGGTAAATAATCCCCGTGAGCCAAAA